ACTCGAACTCTTGATATTGAATCCAGGGGATATCTTGCCCTAATTATTAACTGAAGTCTGGTTAATTTTGTGGTTATTAAGGATTTGTTCTGTTGTTTTTTGGTCGAAATTTTTTGGGTGAGTTTATTATTTTTCTGTTCATAAAAATTAAACAAGGATTGGGGATTTTAGGGTTTAGGTTAATTAGAGGAGACTAAGTTGGAATTAGAAGTTAGAAGCTTTATTTCAACGAGGAGGAGACTTTAACATGCTACAATTTAATTATTTCCTCTGCTTTTTTATATGGTAATTTCTTCATTTGAGTGAAAAGTTGCCGAGGCGATCAATTATGTGTTCAGAAGATTGGTTTTAACCATTTTTACATTTGACAATTGAGGAAATTTATTTTGCTTTGAAATGTTTCATGTTGATTATTGCAGGCATTGAGATTGTGTAAACTCAGGGGTTTGATCGACATTCACCATGAAGTACTTGGAATACACTCCTCTCGACAGGTATATCTTGTAGATCAGTACAACTATTTATTGGATTTCAATATCCATCATTAAAAGGCTTGCTCATGATTTTTCTTGAACGTAATGACTAATTTTTATGTGGTGTTTCCCCAGAATAAATGATTTCTTGAGTAATCTAAATCTTGGAGAACGAACCATTGAAGGATGCCTGGAAGCTTACTCTTGTAAGTATGATTTTGATATGAGAGTACACAATATGTCTGTAAGTGGAAATTAAAGGACGTAGACTTTCTTGTTTTGGTTGTGGTTTTCCAGGCAAACATACTGCAACAGATAAGAAGCTTTCACTAAGCTTGGAAAACGAGGTTACTATGTTTTCTGTTTTTGATTTCTATTATTTATCTGCACTGTATTGTAATTTTTCACTACGACAAGTTCAATCAGTTTAGTTCTTTTTTCATAAATTCTGAGTTGGCTTGTATCTCGATCTTATATTTGTACAGTTCAATCAGTTTAACAATTTTTGTATTTTCCTATTATTTTCTCACCAAATCCAGATTCTTGATCATCTCGGGAAGTCTTCCGACACGGACTCGTCTTCACCAGTTGAATACTTATTTAGTAGATCCAGGTTGCTTAGTCAAACCTAAAAGGCCCGTCTAACTGTTCATACTCTTTGTTTCGATAAGTTACTCATTACTTTTTACCCTGGCAGCCGGAAGACATTGATTTTTCTTCTTCTAACACTCCATCACATGTACCCGGATTACGACTTCAGGTAACTCTGTATCTTACGTTTCGATTGTGTTGATAAGGAGGATTATGGGTAATGCCACCTGTCAGCTTTCTTTGCGACGTGGCATCCCGCTATATAATCCTTCCTCAACAGATTTTTTGGGAGTGTTGTCAGAAGGTTTGACAGACAGTTTAGATTACTGTTGCTCTTTTATAGGAGCTGAGAGTTCAAGTCTCTCCATTTCCCAACACTATAATAGTCAGTTGATGTGTGGTGTCTTAGTTTCTACCCCGGCTATGCGTTTATTGAAGCTTTTTGAATTCGTTTTATTATTTTCTTTTTTTATGCTAATAAAAAATCTGTGAACTTTTGGTTTACCAGTGCAGTGAGAGCTCACGAGTTTTTCACTGAAGAAAGCTGGGACAGTTTTAAGCAGATTTTTGATGTTTACATGTTCGAAGCCTCAAAGGTAGTTCCATGTATATACGTTAATCTCACATTGTAGTGCTTATGCAGTAACCAGCAAGGAATTAAGACTCTTTTCATTAACGAACAAACATAAATGTATTTAATGCCCCCAAATTGCATCAATATTTTTCTGCGTAGTGTTACTATTGATTTGATCTTCACTCTACTTCAAAAGAACTGTTATCTTTGACGGAGATGGTTTGGTACTGACTTAACTTTGAACCATCAGAAACCATATCTATCTGTTAATTTGTTCTAAATTTTATAACTTGAGATGGATAGATTCCAATGTTCGATTTGGTTTGATTGGTTTAAGGTTATGTTTTTCGGTGTAGTA